ATGGGATTCAGGCCAGCATTTTCAGCTAGTGTAGATGGAATGACTTCCACAGCATCTGCAAAGGCACGAACACAGTAGGACCCCATACCACTCAGTGTTCTTGAACATTCAGTCAATCGTAGGGCCAATTCTATTTCTGGAGCACCACCTCCGGCAATAAGAGCTCTTTTTTTCACTAAGCAGAGAATAACACAGAGGGCATCATGAATGGAATGTTCAGCTTCTTCAATCACTAATTTGTTAGAGCCTCGAACAACAATTGTAACTTTTTCCAATGCTTACACAGCCTGTAATCTTGAGCAGTTTGCCAGAACCATTTAAATTGACCTCTTCAGCTAATTCAGCAGAACCCAGCATGTCAGCAGTGAATTGGTCAATATGAGCAACTGGCTTTGTTCCAATTGTCTTACAAATGAATTCAATGTCTTCTCTTTCAATATCCTTGACCACCATAATCTTCATCTTGTTCAGAAAATGTAATGCAAGATCACTAAGAGCATCTCTTAGGATAGACTTCTGTATGAGCAGGACGTTACACCCAGTTTTTTAAATTTGTTTCACTAAATTTAAAATATAGGCTCTCCTCACAGTACTTGGTCCATCTGGACATAGTCAGAAACTACGATTTGATTATCCATATCTGTTTTGGGAGCAGATAAGCAAAACTGAATGAGTCCAATCTTAGTCTTTTCAATTCTGGTTATGCCAGAATTTGCTACTTATTGGGTAAAAACTAGCCCTTCCACCAATTCGTAGTCATCAATTGTCCCGCCAAGCTTCTTAACTATTTTAATATCTCTAAGATCTACACCAGTAGCCGTGGCAGGGTCAATCACTCTCATTACCGCATTTACACTCTTTGGAGAAAGTAGACTTGAATACTGAGAGACCACCTTTGAGTTCAATGAAGTGGTTGCACTATTTAACAAAGTTTCTCTGTCACTCAGTTCCACAGGCTGAGACATGTCAGTCAAGATTTCAAGACCCTTTTCCAAAGCCTTCTGGAATGACTCAGAAATGATGGTTGGATGAATCCCTTTCTGAAGAAGCTTAGTACAGGAATCTAAGAGAGAGCCAGAAATGATGACTACTGATGTGGTACCATCTCCTGCTTCTATATCTTGAGCCTTAGACAATTCCACCAGCATTCTGGCTGCTGGATGCAATACCTGCATTTGTTTCAGAATGGTGGCATCATCATTTGTAATGGTCACATCACCTTTCCCATCTTGAATTATTTCCTTTTGGTCCAAGGCTTATTCTAATAGCATCAGCAACAGCATTGGCTGCTGAAATGTTGCTGAAGCAGATCTGGGCTGCTTTGTCATGGTCCTGGTAGGTGCTTTTCCCACGGCCACCCGCAGTCCCAGCGGGGGCCCCCCGCTCCTCTGGGGTGCCACATTCTCTGGCATGGCAAATTTAATTAAGTAGGAGTGGACTCAGCAGGAACGGATGGACATGGATTTTGGTCCGCTATGGGATAACGGCAGGCAAACACTGCCCTCAGGAGCTTTCCAGAAAGCAGCAGCAGATAGGGTTAGCCGCTAGAAAAAAAAATTTCTACCCTCTACCTTGACTTGTGGAGTAATAGCTTGTTTGTTTGTTTATTTATTTATTGTTGTAGTTTCATATGGTCAGCAAAAGTCATTAGAAGGTAGGAGAACTGCTTTTCTCTAGTAAAGTAACAAATCCAAATCAGCTGACATTCCTGCAGGGATTAGACTCCTGCCAACTCAATGGGTGTAAGGATGTAAGGGTGTGAGTCTCATCCTATCTACATTCAATTCTCCTTTGTGGACCTTATAGAAGACAAAGGCCAGGTAGGTCATTGACAATAGGCTGTCTTAAACTTATCCAGGTTATGACTACACTAACAGTCTTTTACCAGATGTGGCTTAATTTCTACATCCAGTGAAGTCATAATTTGGCTTGCTGGTAAGTACATAAAATCTGTCCATGTCAGTCCATAAGGTCTAGGAGAAGCATTTTGCTGTCAACTGGTAAGGCCTGCAGCATCCCTTCCCTTTTCTACCTTGATGAATGTCAAATCTCCATTCTTACTGGCATCACTCAAAGTTTAGGGCCCTTTTTGCTTTTCATTTCCAAGAGATATCATCCCATCAGCTACACTGGAGACATAATGCTGATTTCACCAAGTGAGTTAGATATACCAGCTAATTTACTTTTTATGAATTTTTAAAAATATATTTAGTACAGGATCTACACAGCTCGGACTTGTGATCCTTCTATTTTCAGCTTCCCAAGCCTGGGATTAGAGGGGTGCTTCACCACACCCAATCTCAATGACTGGCTCAGCTTGCCCCAGGGACACCATGGGGATAGAACCCAGGTTGTAAGAGACACTTCCAGGTCCTCATCTCTGTCCAAGAAACCAATATTTGTAATCCCAAAGTTATGTTGTTGGAATCCCATCAAATTGATTTCAATCTACCACTTACAATGCAACCCACGGCAAAAATAAAGACACTAAATAATATCTTCAATGATCAGGGAGTCAAGGTTCTCTAAGTCCAGCCATGAAGATGGCTTTCTGGAACCAAGAGAGCGACCCAGGGCTTCACCCAGTTTTATTCAGTGGGGGAGTGTCTTGAGGATTGACTGAGAACTGTGGGAAAGACTACTATGAGCTGAGCTAGGTGGGTGGCCTAAATTTACCTCTGCGATATGCAGAGAGGATATGCAGAGAGAGTAATCTGCATTATATAGTATCTAACAATTTGGTAAGTCTGGTGCTTCAGCTTTGGTGTAGTCTTTCAAGCCCCAGGAAGTCATAGCCTCTGTCTCGAGACTCGATCCCAGCTGGTGTCGCGGAGCATTAGCTCTACCGTCCTGTCTCAACCCGGCCCACATTAAAGAGCTGCAGGTATAGGTTACCAGGGAAACACGCATGCCACCTTCAAAGACTATCACCAGCACCTCAGCTAGACCAATATACATTGCTTAAGGCCAATTGAAGGATAAACAGAAGTCTTAGCCAGCTCTCTACATAACAATACAAGGAAATGGGGTCAGTCTCAGTCAAAATGGAGACAATCGCTCTTCTTTCAAGCAGAGCTGCTCAGGTGGTCCCCACACCAGGTCCCTGTGTCTGCCTCAGAAAGCACTTTAATCTGCTGGGCTATCTGGTTGGCCCAGTAGCAGCTACTTTAGATGGATGGGTAAATATTGGCTGCCTGAGAATGGGGTGTGTAATCATTCTGTCTTCCTGTGAAATGTCTAGGGGCTTTAGTGGTGTGGCTCAGGTAGAGATAGGCCTGCCAAGGGGAAACATACACATTCACATCTGGTTCATCTGACCACCAGAGAAGGAATCCTCTAATCTTCTGTCTGAAGGAATAGGCACCAGAAAAGCAGTGGTAGAATCCCATCGGATGGCAACAGCTTGAGACTAGGGGGCAAGGCTGCAAGTTCTGATCTGAGTTAGGAGGTGGGAGGAAGAGAACATTCAAGATCACCGCTGAGGAATGGAGCAAGTGCATGGCTCTGCACAAGTGCATTGAATTTGTCTTTCTCTGTCTTTTTCTTCTGTCAAGGCTTGGAAAGGATGTGATTTTCCCTATACCGTGGGTAGCAATGTTTTTTCAGTGTCATGGTCCAAATGAAGCAGGGTCTCAGCAACGCCTTCCCAGACACATGTGGAAATAATGTTTACCAAGTATTCCAAGAACCTTCAGGTATTGAGGTCAACACACAAATGTATGCACCTCCTAGACCATAAAACGAAATTGCAGACTAATTAAGATATTTCTGGGGCTGGTGAGATGGCTCAGTGGTCTAAAGTACCTACTTAGAACAAGCTTGGCAAATCCCCCAGCACCACATGCCAGCCAGCACCGCCCCCTGGTGGGCTGAGCTGGCCACACACACACACACACACACACACACAC